CCAAGCAATTAAATCAGTAAATTATCATGAGTCATCAGACTCAGATTAGTTGAGTTTTATTGATTTCAATTCTAATAATATAAACAGTCAGTAATTTCTTTTTCCGAAAAAATTTTTATCTTTGACTGTCAAATTGCTCGTTTTTACTCAATACTAAAAGAAATACATTAAAATATTAAAAAATTTTATCTAAAAATCCATAAAAATAAGAGTTTTCGATCTGAATCAGGAGATGGTCCGATTTGGAACCGATGGTGGACTGGAAAGAGCGTTTTTACATTTTCCATTATAGTTTAACACAGGTGAGAGATACGTCAAAATAATCTGAAGTAAAAATGAAGGGAATTAAATGATCTTTCCATCGAAAACTTCGATTTTACGATCGGACTTTATTTACGCCTTATAGAGAGCAGAAACTGCAAATAGGTCCGATTTAGACCACTCTTCCCTATATATATATTCAATTCTCTTTATTAAAAATACCTCCGTGATTAAAAATAAATGAAATTTCCACATCGAAACACATCGAAATGTAGGTTAGCAAAATGTAGGTTAGAGAGAGAGCGAGATGTATGTCACGTGATAGTCAATACTTCCAACTTTTCCCGCAATGGCGCTAAAATCACATCTTCTCGATTTTCCATAGGGTTTTCCGAAACCGTGTTTCGAGCCCATATTTCATCCTCGAGCTTGATCTCCTTCTTATTTCTCCGTGGTTACAAGTAACGCGTTAATTTCCAACCTTGTGAATATGTGTCCCAAACGGCTTGGTTTCCAAAATACAAGGTTTTAAAAAAATTTTACAAGTTATAATCTGTCTATTTTTCACAGACTACCTGATGACTCACATTTAATGTCCTAACTATTTTCCTTGTGCTGGATGTTGATTCTGTAATGATTCTTTAATTTTATTAAAAACGGGTTACTGTTTTACTATCCTAAATGTCACATTCCTTCGAAAGTAACCTTTACGAAAGAACACTTCTTGAAGATATCGGTGAATGTTCGCAAATATTTGACGACATAATCAATTGTGTTGGGGATCGTTTTGCATAAATATGCTTTGCTTCACGTGAGTTACCGTTTAGGACACATATTCATATGCAATATGTTCATATGCTACTAAAGCATAACTATGCTGTCTATTTAGACCTAGACAGCGGAGAAATGAATGTTTCAGCTCACGAGTCGAGTTTTGAACAGGTTTGATATATAATATATATTACATATAATATAAATATAAGTTTATTATTATTTAAATTTATGAAAATTAAATTTATTTCGCCGGTATTGTAGTTTAAATGCTACCATGATTAGCTTTGTATTTTGACGTAATAACGAACTTGCAGAAATATAAGACTGCAATTTTAACATCTACGAAGGCAAAGATCGCGCATGCACAAAAAATTATGGCCGATTGTCATTAGACGGACATGACGGAATTCAGTTTTGCATATAATGATCTAAGACTGCGTTCGTTGCATGCATAATGCGCATAAGATATCATTTTTTTACTTCGTTATTCACAAAATGGCTGCGTTCAGCAGAACGTTTGTTTTGCAACTGTTGGAAGTTTCCTTCGCGCTAATTGGATCATACTTTTAGATCTAGAAGAATGGTCCTATCTCAGCAGACAATCATAAAACGGTTGCAAAACTGTTGAGTCTGCTGAACGCAACCAATGTTAACAAGGGTAAAATGATACATCGTGCACATTATGCATGCAATGGGACGCAGCCTATATAGAAGAGCGTTCAGTAGAAAACATATGGCATTAACATATTACAATTCATCATAAACAGTTACACAACAGTTGTATTTTAATGTCTGTGAAGGTAATTATATATCAGCATCACATAAAATGACACCAGTTCTGCTCGCATCCACAATAGTTCTACAGTTCTATATCGGATTTATCAATAGTTCTATCGAATTACGTCCAGAAACAACGTTTTAAAAAATGAGATGCTAGAAACTTCCCGTCTTACCATCTAGCATCTCACTGGATTTCGAACGTATGAGATGTAAAATATAAGAATCCAAAGAGTTCTATCGTTAAAACTTAATACATCAATTCGGGCTATAAAAGAAATTGGCCGAAAACGGTACATAAGAGCACGTACAGGTGATATGCTGACCAATTCGTAAGAGATCTGACTGTTTCATCGTAGGTATAATGTAGTTCTGACATCGTTTGAGTGTTTTCTAAAGAGTTCTGGCGATAAACATTGTTAGAAATTTTTTTAACAATTTTTATAGCCCGAAAGCGATACATATTGCCACGTACAGGTGATATACTGGCCGATTCGTAAGAGTTCTGTTTCATCGTAGGTATAATGTAGGAACCATCGGTTCTAAATCGGACAGGAAAAAGCGTTTTTACATTTTCCATTATAGTTTAACACAGGTGATACGTCAAAATAATCTGAAGCAAAAATGAAGGGAATTAAATGATCTTTCCAACGATAGCTTCGATTTTACGATCGGACTTTATTTACGCCTTATAAAGAGCAAAAACTGTAAATAGATCTGATTTAGACCACTCTCCCCTATTGCATGTGCACTCCGATATTGCTGAGATTTTGGATATTAATGCATTTATAGATAAATTCATTATAAAAAAATTATATTCAGAGTTTTCAATATTTGTTCTATGTGTTTCAACAAATTAAACGAAAATGTTTATAAGAATTTATTATTAGAAGAATTTCGTTGTTCATTGTTCCCCCAAACAGAACAACAATTATGACATCAAAATGGTCATTAAAAGTCATTTATTTCAATTATTTCCGATTCATTTTAATATTATTTTGATGTTATCGTAACTTGTTTTGCTTGGGCTATTATGGTCTTGATATGAAAGACCATAAAGAAATCTATAAAGAGATTTTGAAAATAATAGTGAAAATTTTGTTGTGCCCCTGCCCCCCTTCTGTCACGTTGTCCAAGTCCACACATAACAAATTGACAAGTCGCAGCCAGTGGCGGATCCACGCGGGGGAGGGGGGCATCTCTTTTTTAAAAATATTTTGTAATGAAATGTTACATATATTTTTAATATTTCTAAAATGCTTAATCAATTTTGATGTTCCAAAAATATTTTTTAATTTAAGAAACTTCGACAGGTTCTTACTGCTCTTTGGTTAATATCGCATTATGCAGCGTTATGCGAAAATCACTAATTGCAAGACTACATAAAATATTACTGTGTCTGTCGCTAAATGTCGCTTCTGCTGAACGAAGTTTTTTAGCTCTTTGACATTTAAAAATTTGGAACATGAAAATATAGGCCGGTATTCATAGTCAGTTCTTATTTCAAGACTATCGTAGGTAATGTCTTAAGATGCTGCGGTCTTCTAATTGGTTCACGACACCTCAAGGCTGAACTTAAGACGATCTTAAATATAAGATCTGACTATGAATCCCAGCCATAGAAAGTTTAAAACATAAAGACATAGAAATTGTTAAAGAAACCAGTGTTGAATAGGTTTACTAGAAATAGAAAGTGTAAATTTTAGATATTTTATTGTAAAATACATATATGTTATGTCTATATGTTATTGTTTTTGCTGATATAATTTTAAATAAAATGTTTTATGAATTAAATATTTACACAGTACTTTTTCAATGTAATGTTAATAATAATTCAAACAGTCTTATCTTTTCGTATTTGACCTTACAAAAAAAATTTCGCTTGCAGCGCGCAAATTTAATAAATAAAAAGGATAAGTAAAGATACAAGAATGATGTAAAATAAATTTAAATTTTCCCTCTTTCTTAATTACTCGTTCGTTACAATTGGCGCATGATGTTTCAGAAACGTGGCAATCCAAAAATCAACCTAAAAATATATAAATACGCCAATGATTCCCCCCTTGATAAATGTCTGGATTCGCCTTCGAAGTCAGCAATCTTGGACACGTTCTGTTTTTTTCGCATTCTATAAGCGACAAAGATAGAACGATATTTGTGTCTTTAAGGTTTTTAATATGAAATGTTAAATACGCTAAATCGCTTACCGCCGTTAATTTCTTTTAAGGCGTATCAATTTAACTATCGTCTATCCAAGATTGTATCGGAACAGTAACGAGGAACAAAAAATCACAGGATTTTGTTCTTGTTAAAATTAGATTTAATATTCAACAAATTCTACAATTTTAGTATGCGTCTTTACTCTTTGGAATCTCGCGGTCGAATCTCATTATCTCTCCCGCGATAATCTCGCGTGACTTCTCAACCTTCTTAACTTTTTCCTTCTAGAACATTCTATTGTTTATACGCAGGTCGTTTCGTCTTTATTATTATCTTTCTATTTCCATTAAATTTTAACTGAAAATAATTCGCTTCTGTTCGCGCCTGCAATTCTTATTTAATATGTATTGCTCGAGAACGAAATATCTCCGACTCTTGTCACGCGTAAACAGAGCAGGCATTTAAATACCTGTCATCTGTGTGCATAGGCAACTTCAGCCAAATACGTGCTTTCCTTTGAAAGCCGCATGTTCCATATTTACTTTTATTGTGGCGATAATTGTCGCCACATGATTTGTGTTATCAAATAGAAAGCACCGCTAACCAATGATGAACATTGAAACTTATGTAGGAATTTTCTTCTTCCCTTACCCAAAGAAATACGTCTGCGTATCTAACACTGTCTCACACGGACAGGCAGATTATCTCTCTATATAAGAGAAAGGAAAGAATGTTTGTTTATTGGATTCAAAATTTCATCGTTTCCGACAGTACAGTATACGTAACGTGAACTACAAATTTTCTTGGTCGCGAAAATCTATCCAGGGAAATAAAAAGAAATAGAATTTCAGTATTTTTTGGCATACATATTATTGATGTCGTGTCGATAAGCATTCATTTCTGTCGTGTCAATATAGATTACTTTTGTGCATTTTATATTTGGATATCGTATATCGTTAGTATTCTCTGTAAAATACGTTTAGAGATTTTTGAAGTATGTATTATTTTTGAAGTATGTATTATTTTTATTCTTTATTAAATATATATATTATATAATATGCGAGGCAAATCAATAAATGTCCGTGTTTGCAAACAGACGGTGTTGCTGATGCTTGGCATTACCATCGTGTATCATCTTTCAAACGACGTCATACAAAATTTCAGAGTTATTCATCAAGCGATAGTTTTGATTTCACAGCAATTCATAGTGAGCGTGTTTGGTGTTTTTCGATACAATGGAAAAAGAACAATATCGATCCGTGATTCGCTTTTTTTTGGATACTTATCGGTTTGCCCTCGTATATTGTGGCTCGTATTCAGAATATGTTTTTACGATGTAACATGTATTGAACATATATCCAGTGAAAAATAGCCGTTAAATTGACCTCGATCGACATTAGGCCTATTCTTTTTGGCTGAACTTTTGCACCACAGTTCATCTTCCTTTTCTCTCCAGGAGGAAACAAGAGGAAGAAAGATGGAAACTGGTGTAAAAGTTCAGCTAAAAAGAACAGTCCTATTAATTTCATGATTTATTTCTCGGTGGGTATTTCACGTTATGTACACATAGAATTTCAAACATAAAATCGCATATTTATCGATAGATAAAAGTGCGTTCTGAATACTGAGCTATAAACATATTTTATACATATATTATTTGTAACATATGAAATATTTTTATTATACGTGTGTGTGTGCGTGCGTGTGTGCGTGCGTATGTGCGTGCATATGTGCGTACACGCCGCGTGTATGTGTAAAATACATTTTCTGAATACTTCTTTATTAATTTTATCAAAACTCGTATAGATATATGATTAGTAACAATTACTTTGTTACAGTGACCTGAGTGCAACAAGTGGAACATCAAGCCTATAACTACATAAAGTCCGTTAAGGACTTTCTAAATAGAAACTATACCGTAGAGATTTTCTTTCTAAGCACAGTTCACATAGACTCGTTAGATGTACAGTTGCCTGCAATCTTTTAACGTTGAAACACAAACTAAGAAATGGATATAAATATTATACGCAACTTTTTCCTCTTTGTCTCAGTGAATATAATTTTACTGTCATTAATATTCAATTTCCTGGAATCTTATGTACCTATATTAATAAAACATAGCTTTCTCTATGGCAAATATAATATAAAGACGTCTTATACAATAGCAACAAAACTCGAAGTGCCTAAAAGGTAAGCTAAAATCTTACGTTACTTTTTCACAAAGATTTAATAACTACTGTAATTTAACAATAATTTATTAAAAATATATTATATAGTACACATTATTTTAAAGATATTTTTTAAAATCAAATTTGTATGTATCAAATATATATGTACATAGTCTTTCATCTAATACTCAAATTGTAATTATCCAACAAATTTTTTTAGCTGGTTTAGACATTTTTACATATTTTGTGCACCATTGATGACTATTACTCTTTGCTTACTTTCTTACAAATATCTCTATAATGTAAATGTACCTGAAATTATGTTTACATTGTTAGACATATTATTAGGAGGATCCAGAAAACCATTAAGTATGTCCTTCTTAAATATTTTTTGAATATATTTACTAAGAATGTCATTAATTCTATATTTATATACATATCTATATATGTAGATAATTATTTTTTTAGTTTCAGCAGAAGATACATTTCTGGTTATTGTCATATTTAATATACATTGTTGGAAAAGATTATATGAGTCATGTTTCATTAATGTATATAGTAATCAAAAAATCCATGTATTCCTTTATTTTATCGGATTTGCACATTACGCTGCAATAATTCTGTCTATATTAGGCGAATCTGAAGGGTTTGTTAAAGGTATATTTTAAAAAATTTACAAATTTACATTAATTTATTACTTTCTGGCGTAAGAAAGTGTCTATGTATAATTATATATGCACAATATACTTTATATATAGAGTAACTAAAAAATCTCGGAATGATGAAATATCTGGAAAACAAAGGATTTTTGTATGCAATTTTTGTATGAAATATTTTTCTCAATATACTTGTTTTCGAGATATTTTACTCATCCAAGACTTTTTCTAACTCTATGTGTATATGTAAATATATATATGTAAATATATATATCAGAGTTGGGTAGTTGGTTAGAAAGTTAGAAATTAAATAATAAAGTTAAAAGTAATAATTTATCAACTATAGTTATTTTAACCGTATTAATTTTTTAACTTATTAACTTCTCTGTAAGAGTTAAAATTTGTTTCGTCGAATCTAAAAATGCTAATATTTTTTTTTAAATATTATAAATAACTAAAAGAAAAAGAATATTTTTTCCTAGAAAATTTTACTTTATTATTTTAAATAAACTTAAATTATAAATAAAATATTAAATTTATATTAGGTTCTATAGTGCAATTATTTTCAATTTTGACCCTTCCAAATAATTATAAAAATTACAATACAATTATAAATAGGTACATACATACATGCATAAAATAATTAGAATTATATTGTAATTTTTATAATTACTTTGAATGATTAAAATTAAAAATAATTGTAAAACGATGTAGATTATATATTATGTTTAAAATTTTATAGAAGAAATTTATAAAAAATTTTATAAAAGGAAAGAATATTAGGATTTTTAGAGATTCGATGAAGAAAATTTTTAATTACAGAGAAGTTGATAAGTTATAAAGTTAATATGTTTAAAATAACTTATTAACTTTTAACTTTTATTATTTAACTTAACTTTTTAATTAAAAAAATATATTGTGTGTATATTATATATATATACAACATATATATATGTATATAAAATTTTTTTCGTTAATAGGTTCGCATGCGACCTTGTTCCTGCACAAAATCACAACTGTGAAACTAGTTTGTGCATTTATATGTTTATGGGCGTCATATGTACAATTGAAAACAAATTTTATTCTTGCAAGACTACGTAAAAATTCTCATGGTGACGTTGTATCTTATAAACATAAAATACCATTTGATGGTCTATTTAAATATATAGCAGGTCCATTACAATTGTGCGAAATAATTATATATTTAATGCTTTCCATAATTTTTTGGCGAGCTTCTACATTTCATTACATGACTTTTTGGGTTATATCGAATCAAGTAAGAAATAGAAATCAGTAAGAAACATTTTTTTTGTAAAAAGAGATGCAATTAAGTATATGTACAAATGATTTTTTTTTAGGTGGAATGTGCATATTTGTCTCATCAGTGGTACTGTAAAACATTCACAAATTATCCAAAAGAGAGAAAGATCATAATTCCTTACATATGGTAAAACTTTTATTACGAAATTTATATATTATTGACTGAAAATATGATTCAATAATTTACATATTTAGTTATAATATGCATAATAATAATAAAACAATAAGCATACTAAATATAAATAAATAAAAATCCTAATGAATAAATTGGTTCAATGAACTTTCATCTTATATTAATTTAAATACACATTTTCATGTACTACTTTTGTTTTATTGTACAATAGTATTAAATGCGGATTTTTTATGTTACATACAATATATATAATGAACGTGATACAACATTTATAACAATATAACTCTTTACTTTTCATTTGTAAAAAAATCTTCCTAGTTTCGTATTCCATATGGAACTGCCAAATATTTTGCGCTCAATAAATGATGTATGAAGATATTTCCTTTCTATTTAGTTATTTGAATAATAAACTGAAACAAGCAAATTATTCTTCCCTGGGATACAAATGTAATGACAATTCTTATAAATATTCAAGTAAAGCATAATGATATTACTGAAATCGTTTTACTTTTACAAATAATATCATCATGCTTTAGAATATTAAATTTGTTTATAATATATTAAAGATAAAAAATTTACAACACATATGCATTACCTATATGGATAGCCTTGAGCCTTGTTTCTAAATATTGACAGAAGAAGACTAAAGAAAATTGTGACTAATCCTGCACCTATCACAGCTAATATTTTACGCTTCTTAACGTCTCCTTTACGAGCTGCAGCCTCAGTCATTAAGATCATTCCTAACACTACTGCTCCATCTTTTTATACATAATTAAGGCCTATATCACAATATAAAATGTACATATATATAAAACTATTTTCTATACTTTATGTAAACTATTTTTTATAATTTCTAAATACAGCAAAAGGATACTCATAACCATAACAATATAGGTTTCCACTATAAATTGTCCTTGAGAAGATCCATGAATATAAGCTACATTGCCATTTGGTGACTTATGAACAAAAGGTGGTCCTCTGATATGATTCCACATTTGTCCAGAGGTCATATTTATGGCGAAGAACTGAAAACAAGTAAATCAGGATTATTTGTTAAAACGAAAAAAGTAATCAAGGAAAAATATATTTACCAAAGCGCAGAATCCCCAAAGATTTTTGTTATAAATGAAATCCAAGTTATTACGTCTGAGATACAGACCAACTGCTACAATAACTATAAGCAGTCCTAATCCTACTGTACCAGAATAATTTGGTGGTCTAAATACTCTGATCTGTAATTGACAATAAATCACAATATTGCAAACAATTTAGAAATCAAATAAAAAAACATATGATAGATATCGGAACAATTTTAGTGTAATAAATGTGATATGGCACAATGACTGCTAACAATATTACCTGGATATCTGTGCGTTCACCTATCCATTTTGCTATTGCTTCTGCACCAAATCCTACTCGTTGGATATCCATAGTATCGGCAGCTTTTGGTTTACCTTTGGGTGGAAAATGCATGTATACTGGTGCAGTATTCAACTTCATCTACAATAAAAAAATTTTATATTAATTAAGTATCATATTAATTATATGTTTATCCTTGCATGTTCTTACCAATCGAAAGACATCTGATCCTTCGTCAAAATCGATAGAGGCAAAGAACAACTTGTTGGAGTATAAGGCAGAATATCGGAAAGAATTCGCCACTATTGTAAATTCGTCATTGGCATGCCTAACGTTATGATAAAATTATTGATATAGTTTTTTCTTAGCAGCGACTTATTCAAGCATAAATGCAAGTCAGTTCACCTGCAAATCTGACATTGTCTCTGAGGCGCCATAGCGGTAAACATAACAATAATAGAATAATTCCTTGGAGGAGCTTTAATATACTGTTTAAATTTTGACCCATTAAATTTCAATATCGGTTTTTTCAAAGTCATCTCAGTTAATTGTTGCACGCGTTCGGCCAAGGAAGTGCCTTGATTCTGCAAGAATAACATTTTAAAATCACATTTTGGAGGCATACTGAGAGATTTGGTTAGTTAAAATTGAGTGATAAGTGCGAGATATAAGAAGAGTTCTTACGTTTTTCGTTCTGTATTGACAAATGACATAGCTTAGAACGGAAAGAAAAATCAGTACAATATAGAGCTTGTATTTCATCGTGAACCAGAGGATTGATACGCTGCGCGGAAACTTAACGAGGTTAACAACTCCACCGGCGACGCATTAGCCAGCACTGCTAGCAGTAGCAGCCACCGATTATCGCGTGTAGATCACGATAGCTGGGATCAGTTGATCCACCGGGTACGGCGGGTACACGTGGCACTCGTGCACGTATTCCACTACATTCCACGAATACGATTTGAGGTTGAGAGTTTGGGACTTAGGTTAGGAGTGTTGGAAGTTGGGACTCGGCCAGATTCGACGAGACGTCAGCGAATCGAACGCGAGCTATTCGCCTTTCCTTCTGCCGCGTTTACAACACAGGGGATGGAATCCATATGCTGGATTCACACTGCATCCGATTAGAAAACAGGATTCCGATGAATTTTGCTTCGTATTATCGGAATCCTGTTTTCTAATTGGATGCAGAGCGTCATACGACGAAAATCGGATGCAGTGTGAATCCAGCAATAGACGTTGCTCAAGATTCTAGATGGTCTTAAGCCGGAATCAGACTACGCATTGAAGATTGAGGTTGAAGGTTGAAGATTGCAATTTGACCAATAAGGACAAAGAAATTTTAGCTCCTTCCGTTTCGATTGATCAAATTTGAATTTTTCAATCTTCAATGGCTGCG